AACACTTCATATGTTTGTCGTTTCATGCACTAAGTTAGAGAAGGGTGACCAGGTGCACTAATAACTCGTGTATATTTTATAGGTTGAACAAGTAGTGTCAGTGTTGATAACTGATTTTTTTTTATTTTCCAGAACTTGATATCAGAAGCACCAGCAGTAACTGAGAATAGACCGCCTGATAACTGGCCGCATGCAGGTGCAATTAAGGTAAACGAACTGAAGATGCGTTTCCGTGAAAACCTTCCTCTCGCTTTAAGAGGAGTCTCTTTCAAAGTGGAGCCAATGCAGAAGATAGGACTTGTCGGTAGAACTGGAGCAGGTATATTATTAACTGTGAATGAATTACAACTGATTCAATTATTGTTTTTGATATTTCAACGTCCTCGAGTCACCTGAAAATAGTCGTGACACGTCATATGCTAAACATTCTAGTGACATCCATTGACACGAATGTTAAGGGCAGTGTAATACTTCTTATTACACATTTTTCGTATATGTGCATGTAATTTCGATTACTTCGATTACCACAATCTATTGTTCTTCTCTTCATGATGGGATATTATTCACCAAGGAAATTGGCAGGTCGCTCTGTCCATGATTATACTAGGCTTTTGTTTTTGTGACGTGGAAGATTCAAATTGCGCATGTCTAATTTGTCATTGTAAAAGCGATTCACTACACACCATATCAAGCTGTGATTTTGAGCCAGTGTAATGTGATATGACGTTATGGGGAGACAGTCATGTTCATATCTTCATATATATGCTTGTAAAGTCGATTGAGTACCAACGGATTCCTTATTCAATTTCCAGGGAAATCTTCTCTTGGTGCTTGTTTATTTCGTCTGAGGGAGCCAACTTCAGGTGCTATTTATATTGATGGAATTGATACAGGAACTTTAGGATTACATGATTTGAGATCAAGATTATCCGTAATTGCGCAAGATCCTGTTTTGTTTGTTGGAACTGTCAGGTTTGATGTCATTCTTAATTTTATTGTAAACTTGTCTATTAGAGTATGTTTAAGTTGTTAACTTATTTGACGGCAGCATGTATCAACGTATCATGTATGTATGTATCAACGAATACTTTTTAATCTGTTATTAATCAAGTATGCCAAATGTAGTTTGATAATAATGAAATTGCAGGTGGTTTAATTGTTGAATTTGCAGTTAATAATTCTATTATTTGGCAGCGTTTCTCAAAAGCATGATTAATGGTTGATAAAAAGTTCACGTACTGTTGACTAATACTAAAATGATTGATTATAGACGAAATATTTCGGTACGTGTTATTAGTATATTGTAGATAGATAACCTCTAAAACTGAATGTATGTTATCATAATTTTTTTTAATTTCAGATATAATTTGGACCCATTTCAACAACACTCTGATGAGAAGGTGTGGTCTGCATTGGACAAGTGTCACATGAAAAGCACGGTAATTACAGTAATTTAGGTTGTGCCTGGTGACGTTGTAGAACTGGTTATGATCAGACTTGTTTTATTAATAAGGTATTACTTCCTCAAATGACAGTCTTAATTAACTTTTATGCAGATTCTTGAACTCGAAGGAAAATTGGATGCCTCCGTTGTTGAAAATGGTGAGAATTTTTCAGTTGGAGAAAGACAGTTACTATGTATGGCAAGAGCGTTGCTCAGAAAATCAAAGGTAATGTTCAGTTCACAGTGTCGTTATTATTCGGAGGATATAGTGCATTGCTCCTTTTTGAGAATAATGATGAATGGATAATTACAAATATTTGAAAAAATATGTTGCATTCCTATACAAAAGTATGGGCATTCAATTAACATAGACATTTAGGTGAATGCACTTTACTATCATATTATACCCTCCATCGGGCACGATCTTAATAGTATGTACTTGAAATGAGTATTCCCTAATCGCATAGTTCAATATAATATTGTTATTTATGACATGTGATCGTTCATAATATTGATATCTGTCATGCGTTTGTCATGCGTTTCCTTGTGGATAGATTGACAAAAACAAATAAACAAGTAAATGAAATCTAATGATTATTGTACAGATCCTACTGTTGGATGAGGCCACTGCTTCTATTGATACAGCGACTGACAGTCTTATACAACAAACAATTAAAGACGCATTTCAAGATTGTACTATGTTAATAATCGCACACAGGCTGAACACTGTCTTGAATTGTGATAAAATTATGATCATGGACCAGGGAAAGGTAAAAAGTTACCAATAACATTCATTCATCATATTCGCATATACAATACGAAGTAAATTGAGTAAATTTGTTGTATTTACCAATCCGCATAACTAATTAGGAAAATACGTTTGGAAACATATTGCATGTATACTGACTATCAATGAATTTACGTTTATGCGCGCATTTTAAATCCAACACTCCGCCCGAGTTTTTTAAAAAAAATACGGTATATGTTTGTTATATGCCAATTATGTAACTGTATTTGTTAATGACAATGATTTCCCTCCTTCTATAGGTTATTGAGTTTGACAAACCCTCCCTCCTTCTTGCTGATTCAAATTCAAGATTCAGTGCAATGATGGCAGCTGCTGAAAAACAATGACGACGGGGGTAGACTGTACTGATTATTCCCACATAGAGTTCTTTTTATTCTCAATTGACAACCTGAAAGATTACTATATTGTTGCCGGAGATTTTACATCAACAAGCATGTGTTGAAAATTATCGGATAATATTCCCTAATCAGTAACCTCCATTATGTCTTGGTCATGCTTTTTTATTTATTTATTTTTTCGTAGCAGTACTTCATTTACAAGAAAGGTCTCGGGCCTAAAGAGTACACCTTTATTTAAGCATGGTGTCAAATGTCCCTATATTTCAAAGCGAATATATGAATCAATAATGTATTTTGAAATTTTATAAGGCGATACAAATTCATCGCGAAATCATTTTAGTGAAAGCAGAAATAACTATCTTCATCGTCATCACAAATATCACAATTTTTACAGTTACTTTCATTTCCAGGAGTGCTTTGAGTTTTGCATGCTTAATTTCAAAGTCCAAAGACGCGCTTTTTTTCATTCCGAATGATGCTAGGGTAGATGTTGTTACAATTTAATAAAATAAATGAATGCACATTTCAAGAAACAGAATATATTAGTTTAATAATCAGGATTTGGATACGATCGTGTAAATGAAACGAGTAGAATGTCTAATGTGTGCACAACACATATGCCGTGAGTGTGTTGCAGAAATTTATGTGCAGAAGCGCCTGTATTGTTTGTCTAGAAATGTGATAGCATTGTTGAGTGCTTCTTTCAGCACGATGAAAAAGATAAATACAAGTTTTCTGCTGAAATTATATAACCAGACAAATAAAGTAAAAATATATTTTCTTCAATTGTTGCATGTTTCATTTCATTATGTAGTAGTGACTATGAATGTTTGCTCTGTTAATATACCAGCTCACACTTCATCGGCAGTTTAGTATGTTTTTCGATTAACAGCGAAACTGCTACATTATCGAACTGTAAAGTAATATATATATATATAAACTAGAAATTTTTACTCCAACAGAGGTCGACATACAGCGTTAACGACCCGAAGAACTCGTTGCCAATCAAAGCGAAGCAGAGATTTACAATGAGCTCTGAGGGTTACAAAAAAATATGTTCACCACTGTGGAATGAAGACTTGTATTATATCGGATATATCTTAAAACAGAAACTGTGGCACTCAACGCCCATGCCCCATTTCCCAGTCCATCCACATAGAACTTAGGTATGTATGCAACACAAATATACAAGTTGAAAGAGTTCAAGAACAGTGATTACCTTTATTGAATTTTATCATGAACTCTTTTTTTACCTGCATAAACCTGATTTCAGCAGCCTTAACCTGGCGAAGGACTACTTTTTATAAACAAAACCGGCAACACTATGTGCGCGCTAGCGAATCTAGTGGCAAGCGCGACCACCAATCACGGGAAATGTTCTCCTCCAATAAGATAAAAAGTTGTTTCATGAATATTGAAAGTTATCGCAACT